ACAATTTATTACATGCAATTTTGATTTAGAATACATTGCCATCCAATACTATTTTTGACAATAACTACGGAGTGTTGAATTTAAAACGTACAGAAGAAATAATATCTGAACTGCCAGTAAATCAAGCATCACAACAAAGCTTTTTCATTAGCATATCCTTTCGTCCTGATTCACATGTACGCCAGTGACGACAATACCACTATCACTGCAGAGTTAAGCGCAGACAGATGCTCTTAACATAAACGAGAGCTCGAGAAATATGATGATGCAATCGCCCCCAGCTGACTCATTTCCAGAAAAAATATGGTGTCCTGATTTACATATCAATACAAATGGTGACCATAGATCTAGTTAGCATATCAAATGATATAGACGATAAGGTATTGTAAAACTGACAAATTCAAGGAAAGAGTTATAACTTCAAGAATTTTAAGAAGTCAAAAAACAAAACAGCTTTTGTATAAAGAACGTCAAGTGTTGATTTAATAATTAAATTAATCCCACCAAAGTAGAATTCCTATGCTCAATTAGCTAATTATAATCTCATAGTAATCATGCTGTGAACAGGGCAAATACACCTAAAGGCCCAATTCACTTGCCCTGGGCAAGTGTGAATTGGAGGTGTGGCTATTCTAATGCATGGTATTAATCACTTGCATAGCCCATGGCGCATCCTGTTTCAGCGGTCCAACATCACGTGACTTTGATTGACAGTAGTAATTATTCAAGATTAGTCGCGCATCCCTTTCCCCGGTTCATGTTTTTTACTTTTATCCGCCAAAATCTCAGCTCGTACACTATTTATTGTCATAAATACTACACACAGTCACTGCTGTGATATTCATAGTCACATGCATTCACTTTGGCACGACATAATAGACGTGTAAGTTCAAGAAAACGCGTTTTTACTGGAGCTTGGCTGGAGCTGTTTACTACAGCGTGACAAGCAAGGAAATAATCCCTATTGTTTAGGAGCGTATTTATAGTATACCTGGGCCTTTAAGACCCTTTAAAGTTTGGGAAAAAATCACTAAATTTGAAGCAGTGAACATTTCATTAAAATCTTTGAAATAGTAACTTTTGTGGAATTTCATTTTCGCCATTTAAATAAATTATTGTATCATAGAAACCAATAGGGGTGAATAAAATGGTATCCCAAGACCTCAGTGATGTCTTGTAAAAAAAAGTGCCTTGAACTGACAAGGAACATTTTTTAAAGGCATGAATGCATTCAGGTGAGACAGCTAAACATTCACCTCCATGAATTAATAGGGGATTTTCCGTACAATTGCGAGATCTCGCGAGATGTATGAAAAACGCGCGTCGAACGTCTGCCGCAAAAATCGAACGATTTGATTTTGAACTAGAATTTCTTTATTTCGTAACTCACATCGACCGGCCGATCTTCGACAGAGTAATATTGCGTCCGAATACCCTTACTTAATCAAAATTACCTATCATCAAATGTGGACAGCACATTATTAAGCATGGAAATGTCCCCCAAAATACTTCGCGTTTGTGGAATCCCACGCGATGTTTGACGCCACTACAATGCTATGACCTTTGTTTGTCCTGTTTTTACGTTCAATTTGACGCATAACGCGCGATTCTCGCAGTGAACGGAAAATGGTCTATTTTTAGTCCTGTAATAGGTGTACAAGTATTTTTTTTATGCAATATTTTTTTCATGTTTATACACTTTGTATTAAATCATTTGATTGACTAATAAGTATTTGGTTGACAAATTGTAGATGTGTAAAAAGCGATCAGACAACAGCAAAAAGCCATTTGCTTACATGGTCATGACTGCAATAGAGACAAAATTAATTAAATACAGTATTTGCTCTATTAGTAGCGCATGTGTTTATGTCAATTAAAGAGGTGTTTCTATTATCATAATAATTAATATTTTATTGATTCAGGATACAACTAATGTGATACGCTTTTAATAGAGCAAATACAGTGGAGTAAATTTTTTCCCAACTGTTTTTATTATGGACTCAATCATATGGATTTTCTAAACGGCCAACCTTGAACCACAATTTTTATGTCGCCATTTAAATGACATTAATTTTAAAATATAAAACTCTTGTGTTATTCTCCTTTCAACAATGTGATGGACTCCTTTGATGTTTAACACCCATGAAAGTAGATTTTAATTATGGATTGTGATATACCCGAGAAATGGCATTTTGTGACAGATCGAGTAGATGGGTATTAAAGATCTAGGCAGACATAACAAAAATTTTTTTTTTTATTCACTTTAAATATTTTATTTTAAGTAATAATTGCAAATGAACTCATTGACAGCATTTGCAAAAAATAAAACAGCAGCATAATTCAAACATCTGTATTGAAATCAGCTGGTCAGCTCATCGATAGAGCAACAAATTTCTTTAATGAGTAATATCGCTAGGATTTCTTTTTGTGGTCACAAATTAAAACAATCACTACCGGTAATGGTAGCAGCAGTGCAGTCCAGTTTGGTTGAAATTAAAACAAAATTATATTTTTTTTCTATTGTCGAGAGCTATTAGGAGAAACAATAGTAGCACAATTAACACTAATTAATACTTCTAATTATGTAATATTGTTTTATATTTTTCAATTAGTGTAATACAGAGCATCACCAGCATAGGTAAGAGGGACATGCTGGTTCACAAGACTAACAGTGAGAGGCATATCAAAAAAATAACACTAGCGTATTAAGGGCTTGCTTATGGTAATAACATCATAAACAGGTGTTAATTGAGTAATGATTATAAATTCTTCTTTTTTCAGGAACAATTTTTGTTGTTGGGTTTCATACCATCGAGTAAATTATAAAAACACTCCAAGGGTACATTTGCAGGGAGGTCAACAATGGATGTTAAGCAGAGAGAATGATATTGATATATCAGACACCTTCAAGCTTAATAAAAGCAAGAGCATTTTGCTGGTAGTGTACTATGGAGAAGTGAAGTAGATCACAAAGTATTGAATGTCATGCCAGTAAGAACTATTAAATTCCATTAAATTACCCCTCTTTGTGCAGGGATAACTCAATTCAAATATATAGAAACAAGTAAAATGGTTACAAAATGACAATAAGTATTTCCTTAAGAATACATTTTCAAGAAAAAAAAATCACTTCGAAAAGTAAATATTCAAGATTGCTAATTTGTACTTTAAAATGATCCGCTGAGGTGTGTTGAATTGAATACAATAGGTAGCATTGTGCGGACGATTTCAATGCTAAGGAGGGAAATTTTGTTTGAGCCCCTTGAGGGGATGCTGTTACAAAGCATCACAAACTGATGGAATGTGTTATCAAAACTTTTGAAACTTAAAAGAAAATACTGCATTCATTGCAGTGAACTTAAGTGACAACACGCAAATTGGGAAAAGAATTATTCATTTTTTCGATAAAAATAGCATCAAATTAGAATGATAATTAAGAGGGATGGCCAGGCTTTCAAGATGAAAGCTGAATGGGATGTATTCACTTTGCGAAAGGGGCGTGGCAGTACTGAAACATGGGGTTGACATGACATTGGTCATTCCATCAAGAAAATTACCATACTTTATGGCTGAGAGAAAAAATTACAATTTTTTATTAATAGTACGGTTTTTACAGAGAAGGTGAAAATGCTTATTTATCCACGAGAGATAAAAGGAAACACTGTAGATCACATGATAAACGCACATATTTTCCATGAGAATCCTATTTTCACAGCATTCAGGTATCATTACTAGCAGATACTCCTTCAACTAAACTAACAGTACAGGAAATGACCTAGTCAGATTATCACTTAGTCTACATTTCATAAATCAGATGAAACACAGTCATGTTATATTAAACATCTTCTGGCATTGCTATTAACTGAACTGAAAGCATGATGCGGAAAGTAATCACAGTATGCAACTAAATAAGTTTGGAATTCAAACGCTGGGAAAGGAATCTGGCTCACTAAGATGGGTGGTCACGACCATGAACGCTCTCCAACATAGCTGCTTTCTTTCACTAAATGCTTATTGTCAAGACATTGTAAAACTACGCTAACTGGAAAGCATTTAATAACAAAACATTCTACACTCTCCCTTGCATAGCAAGTTTAGTAGCCCGTGCAATTTGCCATACTAAGCTGAGTTTTCAAAATGAATGTGCTTCAAGTTTCGCTCAACTCTGAAAGCCTACGAAAAGACTATTGAAATTGGGTGAAACTTTACCTAGCTTCAAAAGCCACTGCCTACTCAAGTTGCAACAAGACACTCCACTTTTATCCAGTCAAGCGGAAAACAAAGAAAAAGCAGAAATAGAGAATGCCATAGTTCTACCTCTATTCATCAAACATAATGGCTGGCATATTTATTTCTCAACTTATTTTGTGTGTCTGTCAGCTTACCCAACAAGAGTTAAGTAACCTTTGCATTCCTTCTCACTAAGTCCTGTCACCTAATAATTAGTCCAAAGTTTGTCCTCTGCATGTGGGAATTTCAATGACAGTGTGTCGATTATGAAATGCATTCATAGTAGAAAAAACACTTAATTTCAAACTCATCAGAACAGTTATCTTAAAAAAAAAACCAACATGTTCATATAGTCCTTTTAGAAAATGCATTGAAAAAATCAGGGGCACTGGATGACAAAATGGAAAGGCTGTCAATTTATACACACAGAACATTTTCTTAAGAATTCACACAATTCAATGGATACTATTTGAACAGTTATATGCAAGCATTTCTGGCTCAGCTCTCAATAGATCATTTCTGAAAGGGAAAAACTGGTTGCCTGGATACTGGAAGCAAACAGGTTGTAGAGACGAAATAAAGAAGAACATTAGTCACTCTCAGTGAGAGTTGCATTCCCTTCTGTTCTCACACTTTCACTTCTTTATGACCCTGCACGCATTTCAGAATTTGTGGTTTTAACAACATCGGAGCAAACAATACAAACTACCATCACAATTCCCACAGCACAATAACAGCGTATTTGCATCAACATTAACATAAGAACTCACCTTTGTGCCCGCTGCTGATATGTCCACAGCACTAATTCTGAAAAGAAGCATAGAACATATGGCTGAGTGAGAGCGTTGACTTCATAAAACAGCCATTCTTTTTTAATCACCCAGTCGTATTTCTAACACAAAGAGCCCTAAAGTAATAAAACGGCCAAGAATCAGAGCAAAACGCCATCAACTATGCACTGTGATCATGGCCGTGCAACAGGTCTATGCACAGCAGCTAAACTATAAAACGATTCACAAGTTTTACAACGTAGAGAAGGAGGTAGCGTTTTTTTCACACCGCATAAAAAATAATTAATAACATAAGGGGAAGCCATATTTTGCGAGAGACAAAGATTTGATATGTCAACAAACGACATAGGTTTACAAATGAACCTATTAAAACGCTTGAATATGTTGCAACATACGGCAATGAAAAACTGTAATGTTCAATGCCTCATATACTATAAAAGAACTGTGCGAAATAAAGAGGAATGACGAATATCAAAATATTTCTCAATTCCGCTGCTTTTTCTATCTTATTTATTATGACTCACTAGCAGGAAGTAGTGCTAAACTCGTCCATTACGAAAAGCAAAACATTGGACACCGACAAATTACGGTCAGTGCTATGTTGGGAAAAACCTGTAGGACTTCAGTTGACAAGTACAAGCGCAGTTTTGTGTTTTTTGAATTGTCAAGACTGAAAAATAAATTAAAACTACAATGTATCACTTGTGAAAAAAAATACTGTGATAGTACCAATGAATTTTCAGTTCAGCGCGGGAACGAGCCAAGTTGCCTTAGGAGTTGGTGCGTCAAGTGAGCGATCGCTTGGGTCGTTGACAACTAAAAGACGCCCAGCGATAAGCGTCCCAGAAACTCGGTCCAAACTGCACAGTCGACCCTGAAAGTTGATGTACTATCTGTGATCGTTATAGCTACTGATAATAACAAGTACTCACCCGTCCATCATGGTGAAAAAAGCAACCTGGGCAGAGGAAAAACCAGACAGGAAAAGACGTACGAAGAGCAGGTAGGAAAACTAAAAACAAGATGGCGGTAAATTGCAGACACGAGGTCAACACGCTGCATTCTGGGTAATTTGCGCCAAGTATGAAAAGGGAAAGTTGACAAGTTTAGCAATGGGTGACAGCCGGGGGTTGGCGAACGTGAAAGGGCGTGTCGATTACAAAATGACATGTCTAAACTCGATAATTACGCCAGTTTATTCCTGGTAAAGCGAATACATACACACATTTGTTAAGAAACTCGAAGCCAGATGGTACAACAAAAATTTTATTCAAAATCTGTGATGTTGTGGTTCCCTGCAATAGTGTAATTTTAATAGCCAGGGCTTTGAAGACTAAATAAAAAATACTGTAAAAAAAAAATTTTTAATACATAATAATATACAATACATATTCACAAAGTTAATTAATGGTACTTACTTACTTGCCA